CACCACTATTAGATTATATCATCACCATTAGATTATATCACCACCATTAGATTACATAAACACTGACACAACCATTAGATTATGTCACCACCATTAGATTATATCGACACCGTTAGAATATGTCACCACCGTCATAACCTAACTCAAGTCGCCGGAGGTTATTTGATATAATTATATCAAATAACCTCCGGTGACTCCAGTTATATAGCAGATCTCTCTACGACTAGCATTGAACTTGTAACTCTTCCAAAACAGGTAGTCGAAGAATCAATTCCAAAGGAATCATCTGTAGAATCAGCAATGACCTGTGAGTTAAAATTTTCTTCTGGAAATAAGCAAAACATTCTGCTCAAAAAAATTCTCTATAATCAGAAAGTAGAACAAGATTTAATATGCGAATTACTTGAATTTATTAGATGTCATAATTTTATGTCCTTACTGAATTCTATATCTAGCAAATATATTTTAGATGTTCAAGTTGATGCTGACCTAACTTCAGATTCTATACTTCATTTAGTTCATTTATTCGACAAGGCTGAAAAAACTAGTCAGAAAGAAAAATTATTATGGTATTACTATAGTGAGGAATAAAGATAATACAGCAATTGATTTCAAATTTACAAAATGTTGCAACATAAGCTAAAATTAGTTGCAACATATATAGGTTAAAACTAATTGCAACGTAAGTTGCAACATTAAAAGTTGTAACATATTAATTATAGTTCCTATCTTTAGTGAGGAATATGAAAAAAAGGTTGTAACCCTTAGTTCTAAAAATAATATTAGCGAACAAATGGTAAGAACGCAGATCTATGATGAAATGGAGCTATTTCTCCCTAGTAAAAAGAGAGAGTATTTGCATAAGATGACACAAAAGGCTAAAAACATCTATATATTATTCAAAGGAATAGGAATAAATAAAGTTGGAATAGTTACACCTAGTGCTGATGTGATCTCTAGGCTAACTGATGTATAAATCCAGAATATAATAAATCTTTATACTGATGAACTAATTAAATCACAAAAATTGATCAGCGTGAACAATTGTTCACACATACGTGACCTACTGACTGAATCTGAATCAAAAAAATTACCAGATGTCAGGATAAGCACTTCACTTACATCAAAAACCAATCAGACTAATGTACAAGTCCAATCTAAACTAACTTATGACTGATCCTATTTTCACAATAAGACATTGGGCCAATATCCTACTTTATATAAAAAATTTAGTAGTGAAAATTTTGATTATTATAGTATTACTGATAAGACATCTTACAATTCCAAAAGGACTTGCTCATTATGCAGTTTAGATCATGATGATGAGGAAAGTATAGAAGGTAGGTATAAGGTTAGATCCTATTTTATTAAGTGTGAACAGCGTGAAATTGAGATAATTGCATAATCTCATTATTTTATTTGCTTGTTCTTTATTATGAGATATTTTTTTACACATGTCAAATATTGCCTAATTAGATTGTTCTGTAATTATAGAAATAGGAAACATGAGCAAATCTGATAAAATATTAACTTCTGAATATCTGAATTAGCATGTCAAATTAACTGATTTACCTAATACTTTGACAGATAAATTCTGGTCTAACTTATACAAAAAATATAAAAAAAAACTGAACACGAACTATAGCAATTATCAGAAGCTGTGACAAGTATATCAGCAAAATCTCAAGCCTTCGATTTCAAGCCTATCACTTACAAAGCTAAACTCTATCCAGAATTAATTATTAAATCTGTCTTAAAGCATTTCACATACCTGAAATTCCAAAATAGTTTTAGGGGGATTGATAATTATAATTTTACATTAGCTCAGCCATAGAACTCATTATGCCTTATTTGTGATAGAAAACATGGGAATTATGGATTACATGACGAATGGTATAGAAATGGAACAGAATATTGTCTTACTTGCAACAGTTCAAACAATAAACTCAAATTCACGATTATGGCTTAAACCGGTCATATGAAATCAATCACCTGAAAAATTGCATAGTATAAGATTAAGATTTTTTTTTAACACATATCTTGTAAATAGTAACATTCATGACATATTGCAGTATGAAAGAGTGCCGGCAAAAAAAAATATTGGAGAAACCTCTGAACAAGTCATTATGCAGTTAAGGTGAGTTTACTTTCAGTTGTATTGGGTAAGCAAAAAGCTAATAGACAATTTTTTCATTTAGGATTTTGAGAATAATATTAGCATCACAGAAAAGGAAGCAGTATAATGCTTCAATTTTTTATCATTTTAAATAGCTAGTTTGAAATAGCATCATTATATAGCAGTCTTTAATCTGTATTATGTATTTTTTTTCTTGTATGATCAATAAAGCAAAGATGTAATTAATTTACAAAATTAGATATACAATGGAAGGATAGTGGAAAGTGTATATGCTAATATATTTTTTCGATCAAGTTTTATTATAATGAAATTATTGATCTAGAACTTAATAAATGCGTAATATCATTCGGAAACATTTTAGTATAAAATGTTACATATATCACAGGAACAAGTAATAATTTATTGATCAGCGTTGCAAATTGTAAAATGCACGTGATTTTTTATCTTATTCTTCATAATTGTGGTATACAAATACGTTTCTCATATAAATCACAAAAAAATATTACTTACGCTTTCAAAAATGTCTTTCAATTGGTGTGCTTACTTTGACGAAACTAAACCTAAAGAATATTATTTTCTAGACTTTTATGAAACTGCTCGAAGCAAGTAGACTTTACTTTCTCTTTTAACTTAAAATGGATCTCGATTGTATCATTAACAAAGGTACAGGGAAAATAAAGAAAGTAGTTGAACAATGTTTTTAAGGCAAGTACACTTGAGCTTCTATCATCATTTTTTGCATGAATGATTAGCAGAGGGAGCTCTCATAATTACGGTGATATCAGAATGCTGTCTACCTTATAGTCAGAATGTTTGCTATTGGAAATTAGAATCCTGTACAACTACGGTGACATCGGAATGCTGTTTATCTTACAGTCAGAATGCTTGTTATACCTGCTTTTGCAATGTACTAATTCTGCGTGAACTATAGGAAGTTCATATTTTTAATAATTATATTAACTTATTGTTTTTAAGTGTCATCATGACAATTTTCTTGATGTAAATGCTTTTTGAAATAAAATTGAACTGAACAAACAACTACAGAATCAATTATAAACTGCAAAGTTTGTAGTTTTCTTGCTTGCTTAATAATGTTAGGCTCTATATTAATGTATTTTCTTTTACTTACTGCAAGTTGAAGCTACTAGTTCATTTATAAGTATATCCACAAAAACCTTTGAAACAACAATGGGAAATGTTAAATCTGCTCTTGAAAATGTTAATGATACATTGGTATGAAATATTGTTGATAATTAAACATTTGTTTACTTTATTAATATATTATTCACAGTCAATGATGGGAGTAGGAAATACAAATAAATGATCAGCTAAAGAGCTCTCTCCTGTTATTATACCTCCTCCCAACCTTCAGTAATATTTTTTTTGTTTTGTTTGTCATATGATGTGCATAAGCTCATTTTTAATTTGTATTGCTTTTTAAAGTTAAATGACCGTTATGAATCTGATGTAAGGATTATACGTGAAGTCAAAATAGATCATTTCAGATATCCGAAATAGTTGAAATGGTCAAAATCATTTTGACCATTGGAGGCTAAAGTCGTGAAATAGTCGAAATGACGTCATATCACACGAATTTTTATATTTAGAAAAAACAAAAAACAAAAGATATACGAACTCAGTCAATATCGCACCGATTCGTATAAAACAACTACCATTCGATTTCCCGAAACTAGGCGGATCCAATGAGCTAACATTCATTGATTTTGGATTATCCAATCACGAGATAAGCACAATTGTATTATTGGTCGAAATTATAAATCAATATATTCTACTTTAAATAAAGGAGTCTGAATTTCGAAATATGATCGCAAATATCTCGAGATAGGATGATCCAAATCAATGCATGTTAGCTTATTGGATTCGTCTAGTCACGAGGAATCGAATGGTAGTTGTATCATACGAATCAGAGCAATATTGACCGAGATCGTATATCTTTTATTTTTTTTTATATATAAAAATCATGTGATATGACGTAATTTCGACTATTTTGACTTTTCATTTCGACTTTGACAAAGTTGAAACATTTCAACTTTTTGGGTTTTTATTTTGACTTCATGTATAGTAAGAATTACATATGAGGGTGACAATAATCCTTTTATAGCGCAAACAAGAGAAGATTCAATGAAATATAAGATTAGTGTTAATCGATGATAACAAAAATAATTGTCACAAATTTGACATTGATTAATTTGGTTTATATTATTCAAGTTTGTCTTGTCATGGAGTCACACGATTGATAATGTTATCATAAATAATGTATTTGAAAATGACGTAAGCATTGAGAAATATCGGTTTGTGGTATTTTTATCCTGATATATTCTGATCCTATTCTCTTTTTATATAGTAGCTAATACAGAACAGATACAATATCTCTATCGATTTTCGTAAGCTTCAAGCGGAATCAATCAAAAAATTGGAAATTAATTCGACTTTATCATATGGGAAGTTTGCTAGGAAAATGGGGTTCTGAGACATTTTTTAAAAAATTGAAATTTTTGATACATATT